GTTTTCGCACACAACCACGTGACTGCTTCCTATTCTGATTCAAATAATGCGAACCACTTGCCCAGTTTCAAGTGTCACACGTCTTTGAAAAGAATAAATCATAATACGAATAAATATTTGCATACATGCATGTGTAGTGTTGTGCATGTTCATTTTGTATTTATTCCTGGTTCACAGACACTTTAACTGACCATTCTATGATAATATTCCGTTATTTTGATCATACAGCCTTGCCTTTTTACCACAAATTTATTCACAGACTCATTTATTCATATTGTGTAATACAATGACTGACATGGACTTATTTATATAGACTTCATATTTTCTTTACCTTTTTCAGGTTTTCATAGCACAACCTAATTTATTATCTGAAACAGTCCAAAAATGGCTGGGTTGTCTGGGACGCAAAGGTAGCTCTTTCCACCTTTTGACCACAAGATGTCGTTAGTGTGCACCGTTTTGAAACTCTTTCCACCTGTTGACCACAAGATGTCGTTAGTGTGCACCGTTTTGAAAAGCTTTGAGTAATGAACCTTCCGGAATCTACACCACTTCCTACCATGCACTCTCCAGTCACAGATCAGCTGTTGCCAAACCGCCCAGAAACTACCGTCAGCTCGCTGCCCGAGCCCAGAGTCCCAGTGCTCGTCAATCCGAAAAACCAGATCATCTCCTGAAATTAACTTTTATATCTGTGCTGTGGTGCATTATGGGATGTGGGAGAAACCAAACTAGAGGATAAAATGGGTTTTTGTTGTTTCAAAATTTAATTACTGTAACTATGCATAAATGTCTGTTAAATAATAATTTGTGGATTAATTAATGCATGTACAAAAAGTTATTTGATGAATATAATTTCTGGTCGCTTGCTTCCCCATCAATGGTTGTGCCCATAAGTATAAATGCTCACAAGCTGAAGTTTCACAGGATTGTCAGTGTAAGATGCAGGTTTGAAAGTAAATAACCTGTTGGAGATTGATATCATTGTGAGTGAGAATATCTTGTTAATGTTGTTTTTTTATTGTCCTTTATTTTTTAATTATTTACCTTGCTTTAGTGATGGGCAAATGAAGCCTCATGAAGCACTTAGGCTTTCCTCTGACTGTTTCGGAAAAAGATTCAAAGCTTTGAGAGTGTCAAAAACAGGGCCATCTGGTGGTTAATAAGAAATATAGCAGCCAAAAGCCTGTGAAAGACGCTCCGTCAGACTAAGCAGCAAACACAAATTCCATCAACTCATGTTACCTGCACAAATAAAAGCCTAACAGTGTGTTTGTGTTTGTTTGTTTGTTTGTTTGTTGAATTTCTCTCTCTGATAAAATAATTTACCCATTAAACTGTGGCATTTAATGCCAGTAATAAAATCAATATGATGTAATAGAAGAATAATGCACAAATATATGCACTGCATATGGCAAATATTTAGTTTTTTTCTGAAATAATTTTTATTCTTCATATTACTTGTATTACTGGGTATTTAATTGAATAAGTCTTAATGAAAACGTATGTAAAGTAAGATCTGGGGGAACATTCCGACACGCGCACATGATTGGAAAGAAAATGAGGTTTCATTTTTCGTTGATCGTGTGATTCTCTGAAAACAATACGCGCTCCGGCACAGAGCTTCGTGAGAAATTGCACTGCGTACTCGATACACGCTTTGAAGCTTCAGTGTCATATGTAACATCACTACCTTGCTTATATAATTGTGATTTTAATGGTACTAAAACATCTAACACATGGGGTGGTTGACCCCTTGTCCAAATACCCACACTTGCGGTCTTGGCCACTTGAGAGCGCGTGCGCGCGACAGGAAGTAAGTGTGCAAGTCTGTCCCAGGTCTTCAAAATGCCAAAGCGCAGTGCCCTTAATGGATACTAAATCCACACTATCTCGAATACCGCTCCAGAGCGCTATTCAAGGCTAAGTGTATCCCATCATGCATCATGTTCTGGAAATAAATCGTGAGACTTTTTACCGAGATTTCGCAAGAGGTCACGGAAACCTTTCCAATGCAAGTTAAATATTAATATAATAATTAGATATTACAAATAATTTGGTAGAAAAACAGTGTTTTTACTTTTATTCCAACAGTGATGTGACGTCTTTGAAAATCGTGCAGTGTGAACTAGGCATTACTCTCTTCCGAAAACTTTTGTTACCCTCCTTTCCTCGACCTAGACCAGGGCTAGGCAAGCTCAGTCCTGCAGAGTTCAGCTCCAACCCTAATCAAACACACCTGAACCAGCTAATCAAGGTCTAAGGGTTTCTAGAAAGCTACAAGCAGCTGAGTTTTTGTCTGCATGTGCAGTTTGAGTGTGTGACACAGATGTTAAGAGCTGCATCAAGAGAAACCGCCTCAGACTAGAGTATTCAGCATGTATTGTGAATGCATATTTCCGTAACTGTGTTTCAGTTTCACTGTTTTTTTATTTTTTATTTTTTTTTATCAATTTCAGTTAGGACTCAATGCTGGCACATTCTGAAGGAACTTGATTATTTTTGTTCACAAACGATCTGTGCGCTTGATGATTAATTGCAATTTCAAATGCTTCGTCATTGTTGGAAATGGGTGAGTAACATCCAGAAATTCACCCACATAAAGCTTGTATAGATTTATTTGTATATTTATTTGCTTCTGAGCAGTGTTGAAACATAATGGTTTAAATTGTGGATGCTAACCAAATGCAGTGCTTGCAAAGCATTGCTGTGCATGTGATTTTAATCTGAGTAAATCAGTATTTTTATTTTATTTGTTAAACCCTTGATATTCAACATTCTCAATGTTGTGGTGAACTGTACAAACTGGAATTGATGAGCGTAAATGTTTTTATGCAAATTATGCTATAACATCATCTGCAGAAAATGTCCGTTTTAAAATGTCATCTGAAATGGTCAACAGTCCCTTAAGTCTGGTATTAAAAACATCTGACCGTGCCAAAGGAGCTCTTACCAACACCTGGCAAGGTAAGAGCCCTCCGATAGATTTTACCTAACCTGAGCTCAGATATCAGGTAGATGGGGTGCCCCAAACTTACTGACAGAAATTTAGATCCATCTAACAATATGCACACTAAGAGTTTCAGAGATTGTTCATTCATGGCTGCATTGA